CTTCAAGACGAAATCACATGGCTCACTGCCGAACTCAAAAACGCCTTTGATCATGTAGATGTACTTCATCACGTCCGCCAGACCCCAATATCTATTGCCGAAAAAATATAGAATTACGCCTGAAAACCTCGGATTATCCTCTAGTGATTGTCCTAAGTACAAAGATGTCTACAAACGGCCCATTCTTGAGGACTATATATATTTCGGCAACTGGGTTGTCCGGATGGAAATGAAACATTTTGGTGTTCTCAATCGCTTACACCTTCCTTGCAGTGATTCTACAGTCAGTGGCGGCCCTGACATGATTGCCGACGCTAAATGTCGCCTCATTCTCATAAATTATATTGGTGTGGCTTTAATCCTTTAATTTACAAGTCTCGCATGTCAAAGGCACCTCACGCTTATTTCCGCCACATATGCGTTTGGACCGCTCTCGATGTGAAACTCATGAACTTTACCGCAACCAACTCCCCTGATACTACCCACAGGCCCTCGAAGAGATCCGACAACACCTTCTCGACGTCGGTGAGGTCATTACTGATAAACATCTCGTTAGCGCTCTTTTATACAGTCATGGCAATGAATATCACCTCCTCTGTTCTGAGATTTTCGAACGCGACATCGACAATCTCACTATTGACGACATCTACGCGAAAGTGATGAGATTCGCCGGTGACCACCATCTTGACACCCGTAGCAACATCACAGGTCTCACCGCCATTGCCCAAGACACCGACACTGCCTCTCGCAAAGACGCCAACTCCCGTCGTTCCAAACCCTGTCCTCTTTGTTCCCAACTTAGTCACAGCATCGTCGGTTGTCCTACTTCTGTTTGTCGTCGATGCGGATCCAATGACCACCGCGGCAACTGCAACAAACCAGGCCACAATGCCATTGCCTGTCTCAGCCACTGACGTTACGGGGTCCACCGTGGCACCCACGCCGGCTCCGATATAACTATCCCTACACCCGCCGCACCAGCAATACCCTGCTCAGGCTTCGATAAAAATATATCTCACACAGCCAACCCCGCCCCGAGCAAGGCCCACTACCGCCTTCACACTACTGTGTATTGCGATGGACCCATACCCTCCCCGCTTAACTCCAGCTTACTCATTGACTCTGGTGCTATGATCCACATTCGCAATCACACCAACGGTGTCATTGACATTGAAACCGGCCACTTCACAGTTGAATTTCCTGATAAGTCACAAAATACACTCACTCAACGTGGCCATCTCCCAGGTCTTGGCCCTGTCCTCATTACGCCACAAGCAGCTCAAAACATTTTTTTCTGTTCATCTCCTACAACGTTATGGCTTATGACCTAATGGAATCGTTAGTACTCGTATCAGACATGTGCCATAAAAGGGGTGTACCATATAAACCGCAAAAACACGGCGCTAATGAAACGCGCCATAGAAGACTTAAGTTCTTCTTGCGTACTGCATTAACGGATGATGCAGATGATTGGCCGTACCACCTTAAGTGGGTAAAAAACCAAATGAACGAGTGTGCTGATCCGGTTACAGGAACAACACCCGCTCACTATTTTTGTGACAGATATAGTGAGTTACAAATACCCTTTAACAAGGACGAACCTGATCACCATGAGTTACCATGGTTAGAGAAGGTACAACGCATACACAACGTTGCTTATCCTTGCTTGTGAGAGACACGTAATGTGGCCTTTTTAAAAAGGCAAAATAGATGGAATGCTACCAAAAAGATAGCAGAGTATCAGGTTGGAGACTGAGTTAACATCCGTCATCGTAATTCTTATGCTACTGTACTAACATCGAAATGGATAGGACCATACGTAATCTCTGTAGCCGACACTAAAAGTGGAACCTACCAGGTTAACAACCCCGACGGTACTAGTGCTTTAGATATAGGCACTTGTCGGATTCCGACTACTAGGATTATTCTCACAAGAAGACATGATTCTACTGCACCTCTTGACCGCTCCGAATTCAAAGATATTATATAGAGAACGGATAAAGGAGGACATACATACTATCGTACACGCTTTATAGACAGTACAATCGTTGAGTTAACTTGAGATGCTTTTAACAATCAGGATGATTTAAAGGCCTTTAACAGAGAACGGCGCAAACGCCTACATAAGTCACAGGCTGAAAAAGATAGCATGTTCCCATCGCCTGAAGGCACAGAAGTTAAAACGTACCCGCCAACAGCGTTTATCCCGAGCTTTATTGCTCATCCTTCGTATGTTCCAAAAACATTAAAGCGTAAGAAACGTCCAGTCGACCACCACGGACCTACTGGACTTAAACCCAAAACTCACAGGGTAACCGAGAACGCTTAACTTCTCCGCCTGAAAAACGTTGACTATACTTTATGCTACTTAATGTTTTCGATCCGTTTTCCTTTCTCGCATTTTTTTGACCCATAATCAGCTTGAGTGAGCAACTTGCTTCTCCTGGGTCTCAAAGCTGGGTGGGGGCTGTGTAAAAGCCGGGCCTCCACATTAGAATCTTGTAATATAGACGTACTCTTAATAGTACGTAAAACGTACCCTTAAAAGTACGTAAACTCTTAAATGGTTTTTAACGGTTTTTATTAATTAAATACCTTTTCCATTTTACATATCAGATATTTGAACAACGCCATTAAAAGGCCCCAGTAAAATACCAAATATAAGATATGGTCTAGTTCTATTAATAGAACTATATTAGCCTTCCAAATCTATTTGTATCTGAATACTTCGGTAGCGAGCTGGCTTAACCGAACATAGGTTTCTAAGGACTATTAGCGTTGCTTAGTTTATCCTCCGTTCAGCCAACCAGATGTGCCAGTCTGATGGAGGCTAAGTCGGTAATTCTTGATAAGTGGCAAGTTATTGGCTAATGTAATAACTATGGACATCAAAAGTATTTTTCTTTTTCTTTTCTTTTTTTCTTCTAAAGATAGGATTTTATGAGTCTCTCGGATTCGTCCCAACGAAACATACGATAGTTTCTATTAGAGCGACAACGAAACACTAAATAAAATCCTTTCGGCGAAAACAGTTATGAGAGGATTGATTCTATATAAGCAATGTCTCATCCTCACAATCGCTGAGAGTATTGCTGTTTTCACGAGGCATACCTAATTATACTAAAAGACTCAATTCGTTTATTTACATCGAACTTAATTATACTTAGACTTAACCTAAGCGTTTAACTACTATAAGGCGTTAATATCGCCCTGATAGACCGAAATTTACACATATTGATCTAATTGATCAGTAAATATTGTTTTTAATAATGTGTATTGTCTGTTCGCATGAAGTTTCTCTTGCATCGTAGTATTGTGCACTGTGGATTTCGTCGGATTTACCTTCGTTCATTCGTGCTCATTTGCTTACTCTCTCGTGTACTTTCTATTTGTATTATATTTATCCTGCTATCATACGTTCATGTTCTGTCTTCTACTGGACATCCTTGTGCACATCTACGTCTTTGATGACTGCGTGTATTTCATGATTACTCAATTCATGTCGATTGTATGCCTATTTGTTGTGATCGTCTGCTATTCTTCCATGGCGTGGATGTCTTGTCGTGTGTGTGTATATAATATATGCTATTATTATATGTATAGCTCTATTACCTCGTCCAATGCCATAAACCCTTCTTGTCTTTCCTGTGTAATTTACACGACATTCGTGGATTTCGGAAGCCCCAATTGATTTATTGGTTGTCTTGGCTATCCCTCGTCTTCTTGTTGTAGTTTGTGAGTTATTATATTTCTGAATTCTTATGCTAGGCTATTCTATGGTGCAGGCTTCGTGTTTTTAGTGTTAAGATGGTGTTTACCAACTCTGATTCACTTAGAACTTTTTAGACTCTGACTCGGTGTTGTGATCTAGGTCCCCGCTTCTAGTCTTTTTTTTGTGAATCTTGCAGGTTACTGCAGTGATTATGTTTAGTGGCTATTTGGCTACTACTCTGCGTAATGGTACTCAGAGATAAAACTGCTGTATCTCACATATCCCTAATGTTAGACATTCTTTACCACTAATTCTAACGTGGTTGGTGTTTTGATAGCATTGATGACATCGGACATGTTTGTTGTTCAGTCTTTTATGGATGTATTGGCTAACAACTCACTCTTATTTGATACAATGTGCTCTTATGACTAACTGTGTATGTTATCACTGCTCGTGCGCCTTGTGGTTGTTCTATCTCGTGTTATTGTGCAGGGCTCCTGACGTCTGTGCATTTTCTTATTCGAAATTCCCCAACATTGATTAAACAATCTCAGTGACACTTCTAATTTTGACTCACTGAGTTTTTCTAGATAGAGATAGTAATATTTATTTCAAAAGCGATAATTCACAAGTGAAGTTGACCACAAAGAGGGTTCATTAGAGCATTCATGCTGCGGGCAAGAACTTTTGGCGCTCGTTCATGTATGCAGCGAGCCTCCCGTTTGGTACGGATATAATGGATTTATGCTGCTTTCGTAACGTCGGGATGATGTAGGGGGCGGGGGCCAAGTGTTTCATCAAATTGCCATTTTCACGTAACTGTTGCATGTTGTTTCATCTGAGCGACAGCGTCGCTAGGAACACAAAGGCGGACGAAGCTGGTGGAGCTCCCGTGGCGATTTGGCTGAGAAAGCGGACGGGAGATACTAAATAAAGTGATGGCGATTGAGGAACGGTTGGACGTACCAGTATTTTTCAAATACTGATTGGGGGGGGCTTGCCGTTTGGGCAAATTGCACATAAGAAGAGCCATACCGGAGTTACGTTATCTATTTCGTGGAGAGTATTGTCCGGCATCGGGCGGCCCATCACTTTCGTCAAAAGGTCTGCGGGTACTGGCGGCTGCAGTGTAGTAAGCCGGGCCTCCACATTAGACTCTATGTTATAAAAAGACTCTTAAGCAGTACGTAAATTATAAACGTACTCTTAATAGTTCGAGGAACTTAAGTTTCCTAAATGTACTCTTAATAGTACGAGGAACTTAAGTTTCCTAAATGTACTCTTAACAGCACGAGGAACTTAATTTTCCTAAAATGGTTTTAATGGTTTTA